ATCAATGTTTGGTATTATTTGTTTTGCAAGCAAGCGTGCATAAAGAATACTTATTTATACGAGAATGTATCAAAATAGTACTAAAATAGTAAAATATACTCCGTAATAAGTTTCTCAATGTAATATTATATACTTTTATTTTCCAATGTAGTATCACTGGTCTTTTTCCGTTGGTCATTGTTTAAGTAAATGTCCACCGTTACTAGACATTGTTCAAACTAAATGTCCACCATCACTGAACATTATTCATGCTATTAGACATTATTTAAGTACAATTTAGGAAATAAGAAAATATAGTAAATACCATAAAAGATCCCTAGTTATAACTCGTTTTACATATTTAGTCCTTACATATTAAATATCAATAATTTAATCCCATATTATTATATACTTTTCCATAAATAGTTCTTTGTCAACATTTTCGTTGAAAACATGAATAAAATTGTATATTCACACTCTTATCTTTTCAGTTAAGCTTTCTTCCTCCTTTCATACTCATTCCCAAATTTGTCGCTGAGTTTGAAGCTCTAAACTCAAAACCAAAACGATCACTCCTCTCTCAATTGTTCATCCTCCTTGTGGAACCCAAAATCAAAACCAATAACCTTCATGAATGAATTTTATGAGTTATTTTAGGAAATTGCAAAGAAAACAAACCTTAAAACTTATCCATGGAGGTTATGGTTTCGATTTTGGATTCCACTAGAAAGACGAACAATTGAGAGAGAAATGATTTCAGTTTTGGATTCAAAGCTTCAAACTCAGTGACGGGTTTGGGAAAATAGTGCAGGAGGAGAGAAGAAACTTCATTGAGGAGAGACAAGAGAATGAATTTACAATTTTATCCATGGGTTTAATGGAAATGTTAACAAAGGATCATTCATAGAAAACAATATAATAATTGAGGACTAACTGGAGACCTTTTATGGAATTTACTCAAAAATTTAAATACTATATTGAGAAATGACATATGTTTTAATATTGTTTAGTACAAATTTAACTTTATTTATACAATTTAAAAAATAACTATGCACGTGTTAAAGAGTGTCCCACATCGAAATTTATAGAGAAAATAAATTGGTATATAAGCTCTGAAGTTGAAATACGTAATCGACTAAATTCAATCTTCTAATGTGGTTTAACCCAAGTAGACCTGGTAAAAAATGACCCAACCTATTTTTGACCCGAAACCTGACCTGAAAACATTGGATTTTGAATAAAGGTTTTGATGACCGAACCTGAAATTGACCGAACCCAAAATGACCCACTAAAAATGGGTCAAACCTGACCGGACCAATCCGCTAAAGTAAGAAATTTTCAAAATTATACACTTTACTACTCTTTTTAGTGTATAAATTTATATTTTCAGACAAAATTTTAATGGTATTACATAATTATCTTACTTTTTCCAAAACTTGAGCATTTTTTAATTTCATATATTGATTTATATGTCTAAAAATTACTTCAAAGTTTAAAATAAAATATTTTTATATATTTAACACATTCTTTTTATATTTTAAATTTATTTACTAGAAACTGTAAGTGTTAATGTGAATTTAAAAATTTAGAAAACTAAAGTCATAACCCGTTGGATTGACCCGAACCCGATGACACTACGTCATGAACATACAGTTCTCAATCCGAATCTGAATTGACCCGAACCCAAAATAACTCAAACTTGAAGTGACCGAACTCGAACCCGACCTGACCGACCGATTTGCCAGCTCTAAACCCAAGTATCGTATGCCCCTAGTTCAGTATCCTTACTCGATACAAAATTTTACTCCGTATCATGGTATCGGAGCCAATTTTAGTCCAAACAACCTCGTTTGTTAAGGTGTTCATCTAGACATTCATTTCTAGCGGCTTTAGTCATGAGAGTCCATTTGCAAGTGGTAACCAATTAGATTCAAAATGATCCGGTCATCCACTTGAGGGGGAATATTAAAGAGTGTTCCGAATAAGAACTTTTAGAGAAACTAAGTTGGTATATAAGCTTTTGAGTTGAACTAAATAATCGACTGAATTCAATCTTTTAATGCATGTGATTCAACCCAAGTATCTTATGTCTCAGTTCAATATCCATACTCTATAATATGTGGTGTCAAACCTTGTTAAGGATGAGCCCTATCCCTGAAGGCCTCATAGGGGGCCAGCCACACAATCATTAAGAGTATGTAAATTAGACTTAATAAAGATCCTAGAGTGTCACACTCTTTACCTGTTTGAAAACAAATGTACTTCTCCCTCCGTCCCACTATATTTGTCCACTTTCATTTTTGCACACCATCCAATGCACTTCTTTAATCCATTTTATCTTGTAATTTGTATATTAAAAAATTATAGAAATTATATACTAATAATCTATATGTTAAGACAAATCAAACAAGATCACACATGACTATATTTAGGCTTATACATTGAGAGAATTTGATGAGTCAAAGTGCTTAAATGAACAGTTCCAAAAGTCAAAACTGGACGAATATAGCGGGACGGAGGTAGTATAATTTAGTTTTACCGTTTTAAGGCATTAGATCAATCTTAAGATATCATTTAAATTTTATACATCGATACAAAAAATCCTCAATAAGTGTTTAAATAGGCCAAAAGTAAAAATTTATAGCCCATTTGGGGAACTCGCAAGATATAATTCGCATCAGAATATTTCTACATATCGTGAAACATACAAAAATTTAATTTTGATATCTTCAGATATCACAAATTTTCTAAACGGAAGATTTGATATCTATTTAATTTGGGAGATATGTAGCATCAATATGACGATTTGATATTCGATCACCCAGCTATCAACTACCACTATAACCGCCATCTACTCTTGTTGCTAATTGACCATCCCGACATGGTACTAATTAAATCATGATTTTCAATCTTTCAAACAATTTTTTTAAATTTCAAAACTCATAGTTTTTTAAAGATTTCAGAACACATATCTTCAAAAATTATTAAAGGAACTCATAATTATTGGAAAGTAACACTCCATACATCTACTCCCACAATAGTTAAAACTTCATTATTGAAAAATTAACACAATTTAAGACCCGAGAGAGAATGACAAAAGGTGGGTGAACTCAACTGAAGATGATGGTGACCTGATTAATGATTTCTTTACATCTAATACGTTAAAAATTTTATTATAAAAAAATAACAATATAATTTCATACTTGAGCAGTGAGTTGTAAGTCTTTAACTGACTACACATAATAGTACTACCTCCGTCTCATTTTAAAACGTCTGTTTCAGTTTATGATGTTTGACTGAAATTATTTTCAAACCATTTTATATGACAAATGGTATAGAATTAAAAAATAAAAATTACATATTAAAAAACTACGTCAAAAGATCTACAAAACTAGTAGTGACAATAATATTTTATTTTATCAAATGGCTAACGAAAATAGAGAAAGAAAGTGAGTGAAGTTTGACCCTGTGAATAGTAAACATGCATTATAATTTGGGACGGAGGTCAAAAATTGTATCCTCATTTTATTTAAGAGGCCTCGTGAAACAAAATTGGTCTGAGACATCCAGAGTCATTCTTGAGGACAAAATAAATTATCAAATGATTCTAATTATTTTATTCCAAACTGAACTATTTCTACTAAAACACTTTTGTAGAAATGAGAATAAAATATTTCAAATCGAAATATTTATGCTAAAATATAATATAATCAATTAATTATACATTTTAAATTATTACTTTTCAAAATATTTAATTCTTCTCTCTTGATACAATACTTTAGCTCAATTTTAGCCTCTTAAATTTGTTATACAATTACAATTCTAATTATAATTTTTCATATTTACAATTACGCTTTGTCAAAAGTACAAGCGGACAATACGCTTATTCAATAAGAATGCATAAAAATATTGACGCACCAAGTTTTTTTTAAAAAAGTAAGAATATTTTTTAAATCATCAAAACACAAAGATATAATTTGACATTGATATCACATTGAATCTTCTTTTAAAATGACATGGTTCTGAATAGTTTCAATCATAAAATTAAACATTGCTGAAGTGATTAAATATATACTGAGTACAAAACATGTAAACAACAGAAATTTCATTACAAAAAAAGTTGATTTACATATTTCAGACAAATAATTTCAAAAATTCTAGGAATATAATTAAACATCTACTTAATGGGTAATGGTCTAATGGGGTCGAGGGTGAATTATTAAGACTATGTTTGGTTCAAGGAATACGAAAGGAAAAAGAAAATAAAATAAAATGAAAAACAATTTTCCTGGTTCGGTCATAGAGGAAAAGAAAAGAAAATAAATGTAGAAGGAAAGAAAAAATGAGAATGTAAAATGCACTATAAAGAGAAAAAACTAAATTCCTCCAATTTTGGCGAGGAAAATGATACCCCTTTCATCTTAAAATGATCTTTCTAGTCATTATTGACATAATCAAATTTTAATTACTTTTTTACATATTTAGTCATGCCCCATCTTGTTTTGTAGAACGTCTGATGTATTTTTAAATTATACCCCTTCCCATTAATTTCTTTCTCAATTTTTTATTTGGGCCATCCAAAAAAAAATTTCCCGTTTTTTATTTTGGCAACAAACTTTTAATAAATGTTCCATTACACCCCAACTTTATATCTATGGTATTCACTTTATTCAATCACATCAAGGAAAACATGAAAAATTCCACTTTTTAAAATTTCTTAATCTTTGTGTCAAGTCAAAAGGAAAAGAATTTTTTTGACGGAAGAGAATAGTTTTTATTTTCTAATTTTACACCTGTAACCAAATAAATTGAATAGAAAATAATTTCAGTCAAACCTCATAAAGCTAAAGATGATAATTTTAGAACAGAGGAAGTAGAAAATCATTCTTTCTTTTCCTTCCAAATTCCTTGAACCAGTAAAAATTTTGTTTAAGTTTCAGGAACATGGGAAAAGGAGCTGAAGAATCCTTCTTCTATGTAAAGTTTCTACAAGTTTACAAAGCATTATAATGCATTAACATTACCTTCCAAGGATTTCATTGCAGCACAGTATGCAAAAGCTCTCTTGGGCCATGAAAGGCAGTAGTGAACCTGTCAGTCATAAACTTAAAAGCACAATTGGGGAAAAAATCAATTGGGGAAAAAATCTATCGCAAAATTGCTGTTTTGTCAAAGGTGACTGAAGATCATATAGTATGTTACAACACTGGATTTGCCTCTAGCAAATAAAATTATGAATTTGAACTTTCCGTGTGCCGTGGACAACCACAACGAAGTAAAAAATGTCTTATGAAGAATAAGTTGGGAACAATTCAGTTACGGAGGCAGCAAAGAAATACGCCGGGTGAGTAAAAGATGGCAGAAGGATGATACCATGAATTCATCAACCCATTAGTTTGTTCGCTACCGCATCTTGTAATGTTGGGTTCTCAAAACCTGGCAATTCTTGCCATTGAGTGAGTACTTGATGGTTATATCAAGATCCCTATGGTTCTTCTTGTTCTGTGTGACCGTCATGTCCCCTACCACGGTTTCCCCTTGGCATATGGTCAAGACATCCTCCGTGTAGAGAACCGTTTGTTTCCAATGTGTGGATCGCGACTTTGGCCCTACATGTCAAAGCACACCCTTCAAATTATTTGTTTGCCGAACCAAACGCGTCACTAATGCATTTTTGGTTATAAAGGTTTGTTTCCAATAGTCTACTCAAGAGAAAGAGGAACAAATAATGGACCTGTGGAGAAGCCTGTTAACTTATGGCACTTGGTGAATGATACATCAAAATATGCTACAAAGGCATGTATGTAATCGTCACGTTCTGCAACAAGCTTGAAAGGAGCAGTGAATGATGCATCTCCCGCTTCCATCTTAGAGATATCCATTGTCTGATTTTTTTTAAAAGCACATATAGTTAAAAGAGCCATTGTGCTTTATTCCATCATACTCCAAAGCCAAAAAGAGTGAATCTTTGGCTCCATCGAACATGATGGAAAGAGCTAATAGAAGTAATGATGCACTAAATTGATTATCGACTAAAAAGGATTATCTCTCCACCTTCAGTAACTGACAGTTAGTGACAATTTGTTTGCTATCTACTATGTCAACGAGAGGTTCTGCTATTGCCTGCTTCCTTATGCACCTCATGTCAAAACCATATACACTGTTCCAAACTACAAAAAAAAGAGAATATTTGTCAATAGTTAGTTAGCGAAAGACTAAAAACAACTGCTTCTATCACACAAAAAAGAGCAGTATTTGATCAACTTTAAATTTTTTGCAAGATACAACAAACCCGATAAAATCCCACAAAAAATAGGGTGTAAGGAAGGTGTATATGTAGACCTTACCTTAGCCCCCTACTAGGTGGTAGAGGGGCTATTTCCAAAAGACCCCCAGCTCAAGTAAAAAAACACAGACAAAGAAAATATTTGAAAGATCCAACCCTTAACACTATGTTTGGTTCAAGGAATTAGGAAGAAAAAAAAGAAAATGGTTTTATCTCATTTTCCTCACAAAAATGAGAGGAATTTGGGTTTCCCTCTTCTTAATACATTTCACTTTCTCATTTTCTTTTGCATACACTTTTCTTTTCCTCTCTAACCAAACAAGAAAAATCTTTTTCCATCTCATTTCCTTTTCTTTTCACTTTCAAATTCTTTGAACCAAACATAGTGTAAAAGTCATTGAAAAACACTTATAGCTAGAGTATTTTAAACTCATTTGTTGGTTTTCCATAAATTATCAAATCGAACTTATATCAAACTTTAGTCCATCGTAAAAGGAGCTATTACGCCTATAAATGTTTTTTTACAATGTCTTAGCTTCAAGTAGATAATGGACTAAATCAAATAGCACTCTGAACTACCCTTCTTCCTTACTCTTGATGTAGTTTTGGGTAGTAAATGCAGCAACGCATTAAGCGTCTAGTAAATACCTCCAGTCCTGAAAGAGTTAGGTTGCGACACCTTGACCCCCCCCCTCCCAAAAAAAAGAAAAAAGAACCAAACGGAGTTTATACTGAGTTTGTTGTTGTTGCTCAACGATTATTGAATTTGTTTACAACCTCATTATAAAGATTTCATGAAAATGAGATTCGCGTTATTAAATAGGATAAAAATGGAGGCAGGATTCCATTTTCTTAGACAGAACTACAGAAGAAATAGAATTTAAAAACGAGCCGAATAAGCAGCTCACATTCAATCTTGTCCTCTTTGTAGTCAGCATCTTCAATAGCTGTCAGATACAGAGAAGCCTTGTCTGGAAGCACAAGCCCATCTGTTACCTGCAACAATTGAATATTGTATTGCCTCAAAATGCAGGATTAATCTTTAAGTAACTAAGATTACACAGAAAACCTTTAGTGCTATAGATAACAATAATAACATCATTGAAAACATAACAGTGCTTTAAAAACTACTCACAAGCCACTTGTTGCGAGCATAAAGTACTGTATTTAACATATTCTCATACAGCAGAAAATATCCCATCCACTCAGATATTATTATATCCACTTGAGACACAGGAAGCTCAATTTCTTCAATTTTTCCCTTGATGACAGTTATAACTGCAAGCAAAAGAATATGAGAGTCAGTGTGCCTGAATCAACTAAAAAATAAAAAGATATGCCAGAAACAAATGAATTATGATTATTAACAACATATAAAACTACTCTATAAGAGTTAACTTGATTATCACCATTAGAGAAACCATTTGACTTCACAATTTCTTGTGCCATACCAGCCATGCTAGAGCATTCAACCTGAAATATGTAACATATTTGCCATGCATTCTTTCAAACAACTAAGCCATACTACAGCTTTGCAATGAGGTACATGCCAAATAGAACTGCACGAGGATATACAGATAAACGACACTATGTTTGTAAGAATACAACACATACCGCATAAACATGTTTTGCACCAACTTTTGCACAAAAAAGAGAAAGGATGCCAGTCCCGGCACCCACATCAAGGACTACTTTGTCCTTGAATAGAAATGAATTTTTATAGATGACATTTTGGTACGTCTTAGTTCTAACTACATCCTTCAACATCTCCTGCAATGATAAAAATGTTTAATGGAACAAACACCGAGATTAGAGAGATTGGTTACTTAATGAGGCTAAATAAAAGCACTAGGGAACATGTTAATGAGCAAAAAGGCTATTTATACTAAACAGAATCATTAGCAGTAGTAGTTTTACATTTTTTTCTTGGCTTTCTCAGCACACACCACTGACCGGGTAACGTACATTGAATTACTGAAAACTCACATACCACACCCCCAACCCAGAGAAAAAGACCATATATAGTATCAGACTAGAAGATTCACAAACCACAACACAGAACATATTCCCAATGATGAATACTTACTTCATGAATACCTGCAAAATAGCAACCAATAAAGGAACATTACTCAGTTGTTGAATAAGAATAAAGGATGAAAAGCATGATGCACAAAAGTGTTTCAACATCCAACCCCGCTAGTAAAAAACTTCAAATATGGGACCATGGACTTCAAAGGCATTTGAGGCGGTGTGCCTTGAGGTGTAAAAATGCTCCGTTTGAGCCTCATTCTGGAATTTTGAGGCCCACGCCTCAGGTAGATGAAGCATATGGCAAAAGCCTATTTTTTTTAATTAGGAATTTATTTAAAAAGCTATAGGGCTTTGATGCTCAAACTATTTATTTTGCTATACTTTTGGATTTAACAAGACATAAATAGTATATATAAACCTAGATTTACACCGATAAAAAAACATAGGGACCAATAATTCTCTCTAGCGCCATCATTTGTTTCTCACTCTCTGCCTTCAATAATTCACTCTAATCCAACGATTATTCTCTCCTGCATATTTTAAGTTTTAAACAATGACTATGTATGGCTTAATGACTTTTTTTTGACATGATTATGAGTTATACACTTTATTGTTTTTATTTTAATATTTTTTCCAAATTAATATGAAGCTTACAGATCATTCCGTGTTTCAAAAACTTGTGCAGGACCTCGTGTTTTTACCTAGAGAAGGTGTGAAGTTTAGGGATTTAGTCAGCAGTAATAGCAAGTACTTTGCAATTGGAAAGAGATAATAAGTGATAAATGACTGGTTTGTTATGTTCTAAATAAGCACTAAAGATGTAAGGAGCTAGCACTGAATCAGCCTTCTAAGTGAATTAAAGAGCTTATGTGGATGTTCAAATCAATAACTCCCTCCATCCCAAATTAATAGTCCTAGTTTGACTTGACACGGAGTTTAAGAAAAGTCAAATTGTATTGGTGAAAGTGATGCTGAGGAGAGAGAATTTGAGCCACAAAAAAGTTTTATATAAATGGAAAGAGAACTCTTTTTTGGGACGTCCTGAAAAGGAAATGAGGAAGTACTGTTTGAAAAAAGCAATACTCCATTCATCCTGAAATATGCCCCAAAAACAGTCCCTTTCCAAGGAAACAGGCATGTTTCTCATGTAATTTCTGGAAAATATCCATGAACAAACTACATATGATGAATTTAGATTTTAAAAAAACATGAATATGAATATGTAGGACCAATGAGTTTCTTAAGAGTTGGGTGCTTATACTTTAGAAAAGGTATGACAAATAATTCAGCGTCCAGTTCAAGATCTGATTTTTAGGGCTGGTTTGGTGTCAAATATGCACCAACTCATTACAAAAACAGGTTACCATATGGCAACCTATCAAAGAGACAATTGCAGTGCATGGTTTGGGGTTGGAGGATCAAAGAATCCAATTAGAGCATTTTGGGGTTCAAGGACAATGTTAATTCCAGTGCATTATCTCTAAATGGAGTAAATAGGTCAATAAATGTATATATTCCACATACTATGGTCTTTAACAGAAGAAAAGAATAAAGGGGCAAAATTGTCCGCAAGTATATAACTGTTACTGCTAAAAGATGCAAACTTTCCAATGTCACAAAACGGAAACAGGGAATACTACATCGGGTTAGCAAAGAAACAGGCATTTTAAATCAGTTTCATTATTCACAAAAGAAAAATTTAATATGGAGCAACAAAAAGATCGGAGTTTTATCTTCTGAGAAACATATTAATAGAAATTACCAAAGTGGGAGTAAGAGTCAAAGTAGTAATCGGCGCTGGTATGATCGTCGGCGACCATGGAGTCCTCTCCGGCTGAAGGCTCACACATGGCGGCGTCTTCCTCAACCTCTAGATTCGAGCTCTCCGTAAGAGTCTCGTCCTGGTCCGCCCGCTGCTGCGGGTTCTCGTCGTCTTCGTATTCGAATCTGATCTTTGTTGGGCGCATCTCGAGGTCGCTCGTGGCGATTGAGCTGGGACCTAACTCGGAATCCATCTTCGCCTGGGCTTGAGTGCTTGACTAGGGCTTTAGGAAAGAAAAGGTGGGCTGTGATGATTAGGGTTTAAGCTTCAAGGTCGGGAGACGGCCGACGAATCTGCGTTCTCTTCTATTTGAAGGAGACTTTCGCATATGTAGGATACAAATCATACAATGATACATTCCTTTTGGATCCAAATTTAGAACTAAGTCTCTCCGTCCACAAATGAATTTTTCTTTCACTATTCACAAAGTCAAACTTTATTTACTTTGTTGGTCTATTTTCGTCACTCATTTGATAAAATAATATAGTCATGTCACTTCTAGTTTAGTACTCCCTCCGTCCCAAAAAGTCTTTCCTGTTTCATTTTTTGCGCATCTCATAAACACTTCTATCCCGCCTTGAATGCCAAAAAAACTTTCAATCTAAGTTCTACCCACAATAAAGAAGAAATGTTGTAAATTTTAGGCATTTTAGATGTCAGTAGAAGTGTTTTATAGTATGCGCAAAAAATGAAACAGGAAAGACTTTTTGGGACGGAGGGAGTAGATCTTTTGATATAGTTTTTTAATATGTACTAATTTTTATTTTTAAATTTAATATTCCCTTCGTCCCATTTTATAACGCCTGTTTCGGTTTACGATGTTTGACTGAAATTATTGTCAAATCATTTTATATGTCAAATAGTATATAGTTAAAAAATAAAAATTACATAATAAAATACTACATCAAAAGATCTACAAAACTAGTAGTGACAATAATATTTTATTTTATCAAATTGCTAATGAAAATTGAGAAAGAAAGTGAATGAAGTTTGATCCTGTGAATAATAAACATGTATTATAATTTGGGAGGGAAGGAGTACCATTTTTCATATAAAAAATCATTGAAAATAACTTCAACCAAACATCGTAACGCACAACGAGAAGTTTATTTGTGGACGAGGGATTATCATTTTATCTCTGATTTGATTTTATTAAACTCTGATTTGATATAATTAAATTGTACTTAAAATTATTTTTTTATCTAATTTGATTTTATTAAAATAATTTATTAGAGTTAATGGAAGAAAACAAGCTATTACACTGTGTTTAGAAGAGATAAAATAAGAGAGAAAATAAAATGGATGGAAAATACTACGTAAGAAGATATGCATTTGTATTATGTTTAGAATAAGGTGAAAATAAAGCATGATGAGAAATATAAAAAGTTTCCTATATCAATGCACTTATACGTTGTTTGCCTTTCTATTTCTAATATTCCTATGCTAATGTCGCTCTAAGCTAAAATACCTCTAATATTTTAGGTTAATAGTTTCGATGCCAATAGTGGATTTAAAAATGGGCACCAACAACCCCTCTTTTTCATTGTTTCTTTTTTATTCTCTTTTTTTTCATAAATGATTTAAAAGTTCTTTTTTAAAATTATTTACAATAATTTTTAAAACTAAATTAGGAGTAAAACATATAAAATGTACCAAAAAAGGAGTTATATATTTTAATTATCAGGATAAAAGTTACAATGTCAATCATGTCAATATATAATACCAAAACATATTGTTAAATATCCATATACAGTGTCATATTATCACAATGCAAACTTCTATTTTGAAAATAAAAACACGAAGTTTTTATTTTGGTATTTTTTTTATGTTTTGCTCTTATTTAGAGTAATTTCTAAAAAAAAATTATACTCGGTATAAAATAAGTTGTTACAAAAAGATCTTAAATCATTAAATAAACAATAAAAGAGATACAAAAAAATTTTATCAAGGACTCAAAATAGTAATTATGTCAATTTTTTAGAAGGGAAGAAGGGTTTAGGTGTATAAAAGATGAAAAATGCTAAGGGTACACCAAAAGTGGGTACACCAAAAGCCAAAAGTGTACCCCAAACATCCCCACCTCCTCCATCACCACAAAAAAAAAAGCAATAAAAATTCAAAAAAAAAATAAAAATTAAAAACAAAATAAAATGAATGGTAAAGAGAGGGGTAGTGTACATTTGGGGTACACCAAAGGTGTACCCCTAGCATATCCCATAAAAGATATAGGAAAAATGATAGGGGTACACCAAATGTGTACCCCATTTGTCCCCCACCCCCTCCTTTTCCACAAAAAAGAAGACAAGAAATTCAAAAAAAATAAATAAATAAAAATGAAATAAAAATGGGTGGTGGAGAAGGGAGTGGTGTACATTTGGAGTACATCTTTTGGTGTACCCCTAGCATTGCTCAAGATATAGGCACCCTTATACTCTGAGCTCATAACAGATGGAAAAATTTAGCCTACTATGAGATGCTCCTCTGCTAAACAAAATTAAAAAAGATTTGAGTTTTTCTAAGATTGTTTTGAGATGAAAACAAATGATTGAACATTGTCCAATAAAAGTACTTCTAATACACTCACAATAATGTAAGGTAACCCTAGAGTTCTAGAATTCATCAACACTTAGATTAGTTAGGTTTACTCTTTTCAACCTTTAAGAGAATAGTTCTTTTTATGTTTCATTTCTTGGAAGGTTGTGATTGGATTGGGGGAGGCTGGGAAGTTGAAAACTGTGAAAAGAAACATTTTTTATTTGAGGAGGGGTTAATTGGAGGAAAATTAAATGTTTCAAGAATTAATCAGTACTGTGAATGTCAAAGGTTTTAAGCACGGGAAAAAATCTCATATCTTCAAATTTTTCTTGTGGATCAAAATAATAGTTACGGAAATTATAAATACTCCTTCCATCCCAATTTATTGGCCTACTAAGCATAATCATGCATTACTTTTTTAAGAAAAACAATCAAATGAGACTCGCAGAAGCAATTGAGAAATGGATTGAGGAAAAAAACGCCTGCGATTTTTTCATATCAGTTTGTAGCAGTTCTAGTTAATTCACTACAACATGGCGTCGGGTTGAGCCCCCCCTCCCTTCCTGGATCACAGCGACACCATGTTAACCCATCTTCACACAACAAAACATATGGAAGGCAGAAAGAACAGAAAAACCATCCATGATGCACAATACCTTGTCTGCTCCAGTTGATAGGGATGATGTTCAATGATATAGCTCTTGCACCTCTCCCGTCTTTCATGGATTGACCATCAACAGTCTTCTGAGTAGCTGGAAAACGTTAAAACATAAAATAAGCTAGGGAAAGAAAATTCTCTTTTGTAAGAACAATGATCTCTTAACATTCATTGCAAAAACTCTTAGGTTGTTTTTATTTTTTGTAAAAATATAGTTAGATGGATCAAGGATGAACTTAATCATGGCAGATTTCATCATCCGTAATCATGGCAGGTTTCATCGAAAACAGGTCTATTGGGTCAATGGAGCTGCTTAATCAAATAACTAAACAGAATATTAAATACCTTCAAAACGTTAAGCATCACCCTCCAGACAAATATCCCACAAAAACATTAAGCAAGCAACCAAATTACAAATATTCCAACTCAAATATGTCATAGTGAGAAGGATTATACGGATTAGAAAAATTCAGCTCTTCCACACACTTAGAAGATTGTCTAGCCAACCATCTTCCTAATATAATCCACACCCTGCAAAACCCAAGTATGAATAGAAAAAAAGCATTTCAGAAAATATAAAAAGAGAGAAAAATAGTTATGTTACATGCACATACCTTTTTATGTAAAATAACAGTTAGATGGATCAAGGATGAACTTGAACATGGAAATGAAAAGATACCCAGTCAATTTCAGAGTTCAAGTCCTTAATCATGGCAGATTTCATCATCCGTAATCATGGTAGATTTCATCGAAAACAGGTCTATTGGGTTAATGGAGCTGTTTAAGCAAATAACTGAACAGATTATTAACACCTATTGCTTGTCATCTCATTGTGTGTTACATGAAAGTTTATTGCTTGTCAGCCAGTAGCATAATGTGCATGTCCATTGCGTCGGCGTTGCCTATGCCTTCCTAGCAGGCAGATTCTTTAGGACCACAGAAGAGAGAGGAGTGAATGCATTAGATATATTTGCATTCTCAATAGTATTTTTTATTTCTCCCTGTATTAGATAGATGAATGTTCTCCTAATCATTCTTACCATGTAATTGACTTCAATGAAAGGTTCATTGATTGAAACTATAGCGATGTCATCTCTTGATGTCGCTATTCGCAAAAATAACATTCCAATCCTCCCAAACCTTTCAAAAATTTTAAAGTTCCTTACATTATAACCGGTATAGTAATAGCAACACTTGATAGCAGTTAATCAAACAGAAAACATACCATTGATCCCAACCCTCGTATTCCCAGCATTTTATCAATTAGCAACATGTATCTCAAGAGAGATGTGGATTATAGATAATTTAAGACCAAATCAATAGATATCTCAATAATAGGCAGAATAATAAAACTCAGGTCCTTAAGACCAAATCAAATTAAACTAGGCTAAAAGTTGGCTCTAATCTATGATACCGGGTGTTTGTCATTGCCTATGCAACTTGTCAGCCCTGAAAAGTTTAGTAAAGAAAGAGGCGGTCCCTAGTAAAGCTTTTCAAAACTTAAATTCATACAATTGTATGAAATATTCTCACTTTATCTATATGATCACTCATCGGAAATTGATATTGTGGAGAGGTGATCTGAGCAGAACCCTGAGTTGGCTCCTTCGCTCCTCCATTGTGTGAGAGGTGGCTTTATCCTAATCGACTCCTCCCCTACTCCTAACATCTATCAACAACAACAACAACATTACCTATAGATAGGGAGTGCGTTGCTTCCACGCACAAGAATTGCGAATATGATTTATCCGGCACTTGTGAAAATTCTCCAAAGTACCTTTTTCTAAAATCGTCGTCTTTATTTAAATGTTCAGGAGTAAACAGTATAATTTTCAAAGAGTTCAGGAGTATTTGGTGCAATTTTTAGTGTTCAGGGGTAAACCGTACAATTTCTGAAGAGACTGAAAGGAACGGGAAGAACTGGAATGAACTGAAAAAAATTGGAAAGAACTGGAAAAAACTGGAAAACTTAAAAAAACTCTAAAAATATTTATTTTAAATTCTTGTTGTTATAAATTATTATAATTATTATCATTATCATCATCATCATCATCATTATCATCATAATCATCATCATAATCATCATCATCATCATGTTATCTTAGTGAATGTCGTTAAAATATAAAAAAAGGTAATGTTATTTTTTAAATACAAAAAATTACTTTTACAAAAAATAATTATAATATAAAGTTAGAATAAATATAAAAATATTAAATTTTAAAAAGGCTGTATAGTTATATTGCACCTTAATTTATTTATGCAGTATTTATTATAAATAATATATTTGTAATTATAATTTATATATTAAAAAAATTTGTTTAAAATATCATACATGTCACAAAATCAAACATATTGTTTCTTTCATGATTGATATTTTATTTTCGTTGAATTCCTATTTTTTGAATTAAGACATAGAACTTTTTTGTTTACATTTTTATGTTTTGGTCATATTTTAGTTTTTTCACTAAGCTATTTTGACTTACAATTTTTTTATGAAAATTAGAAAAATGAGCAATTTTTAAGTAATAAAAGGAAAACTAAGATGTCTTATAAAAAGTTATATTAGTAAAACATTCAATGTAAGTATCTTATCCATACTTTTTTAGTATAATTTAAAAATTGATGTTTTCCTATTTTATCATGTAGACTAATATACAAAAATATGTCTTATTCATATTAAAAAGTTATAATATAGTTATGAATCCTAAAAATAGTGAGATAAAAAAATAATTTATAAACTATAGTTATGAATATAACAGTTGTAATAATAATAATAATAATAATAATCACATTGAAATATATCATTTTTAGAATAATTGGTTGAGGAGTAGAAAAAATTGAAGAAAATAAGAAAAGTTGGAAGAAACTGAAAGAATCTGGAAGAACTGGAAGAATCTAGAAGAATTGAAAGAAAATAGAAGGAACGGGAAGAAACTAAAAATTTAAAGTTCTAGGTTTAAAGAATAGATTCTAATTGGTTTCTTTATAGTTTGTGGTACAATACTCTGTATTTTTACAATTTTTTTTACCCATATTGTTAAATTTGATATAAGTAAAATAATTTGGGCAAGGCTGGCCCAATAGGGGACAAACCGTCCGTCCGGACAGGTCCCATTATTTTAAGGGCCCAAATGTATATCTATGTATATATGTATATAAATAGCCCAGCAGTCCAGCACATAGCCCAAGTCAAAGGCCCATCTTTTAGTTGTCCATTTCTTCTGAGCCTTGTACTTCTTACTAGACCTGACAAAAAGTGACCCGATCTGTTTTTGACCCGAAACCCGACCTGAAAACACTGGGTTTTGAACAAAGGTTTTGATGACCGAACCCGAAATGACCCGCTAAAAATGGGTCAAACCCGACCGAACCCGAACCCGACCTGACCGACCCGCTAAAGTAAGAATTTTTCAAAATTGTACACTTTTTTACTCGTTTTTAGTGTATAAATTTATATTTTCAGACAAAATTTTAATGATATTGCATAATTATCTTACTTTTTCCCCAAAACATAAGCATTTTTAAATTCCTTATATTGATTTTTATATCTAAATACTACTTTAGAGTTTACAATAAAATAATTTTATAGATTTAATACTTTTTTTTGATATTTTAAATTTATTAATGTGAATTTAAAAATTTAAATAACCAAAGTCATAACCCGTTGGGTCGACCCGGANACCCGAACCCGAAATAACCCGAACTTGAAGTGACCGAACCCGAACCCGACCTGACCGACCGATTTGCCAGCTCTACTTCTTACGAGTAGAACCGTCAGGTCGCAGAGAGCCGGAGACGCAGACGCAGAAGCTCGCAACACGCAAATCGATTGGAAAATTCTGAGTGCCGGTAGAGACACCGCCGCCGCCGCCGCTAGACTCCGCCGACCCTCCAGGTATTCCGCATTCACTACTCACAAGCTTTCCGATTTGTAACTTTTTTCTTTCTTTCATAGTTTCATTCTTTGGATTTAAAATCTAGGTTTAATTATTAGTTTTTAATTTGAAATCTTTGCTAATTGCTATGAAATAGAATGAATTAATGGTTCTATATGTTCTTTATTTGATTTGGATGAATTGATTTGAAATAGAATGAATTTATGATATATATAATCTATAAAAAACTGAAAAACAAAAAAAACTGAAAACTGAAATACAAAAATACTGAAAAATTGATGCATTGATATGAATATACGATACATATAAAAATATGAAAACTGAAAAAGGAAAAAATAAGAGTAAAGTGCACTGTTCACCCCCGTACTCTTTAGAAATTGCATGCTTTTCCCCTGAACTTTAAAAAGTGCACCGTTTACCCTCGAAGTCTTCAAAAATTGCACGATTTACCCCTACACACTAAAGAATGCACCAAATATCCTTGAACAAATTAAACTGTTGCATCGTTGGTCCTAAACTATTAGATAGGGAGTGCGTTGCTTCCACGCACAAGAATTGCGAATATGATTTATCTGGCACTTGTGAATTCTCCAAAGTACCTTTTCCTAAAATCGTCGTCTTTATTTAAATGTTCAGGAGTAAACAGTATAATTTTCAAAGAGTTCAGGAGTATTTGGTGCAATTTTTAGTGTTCAGGGGTAAACCGTGCAATTTCTGAAGAATTCAGGGGTATTTAGTGCACTTTTTAATGTCCGGGGGTAATCCGTGCAATTTTCAAAGAATTCAGGGGTAAACTGTGCACTTTTCTCGAAAAAATAACTGAAAAATTGACGAATTGATATGAATTTATGATATACTCCCTCCGTCCTCCAGTTTTTGTCCACTTTCATTTTTACACATCATCCAATGCACTTCTTTAATCATCTTGTAATTTGTATATTAAAAAATTATAGAAATTATATATTAATAATCTATATGTTAAGACAAATCAAACAAGATCACACATGACTATATTTAGGCTTACACATTGAGAGAATTTGATGAGTCAAAGTGTTTAGATGAACAGTTCCAAAAGTCAAAAGTGGACAAAAACTGGGGGAAGGAGGGAGTATGAATTTATTTCCTTGCTTTTCCATATTTATCTAATTATAATACTATCATTTTGTCATTTATTTTTTTCCGAATAATATTGCATTAATTATCATTTAAATATAATTTACTTATGTTAATTTGTTACACCATTAGGGATACGATTTTTAGGGTCTTTTTTTTCTGTTTTGGCCCAAGCCGATGAATTCTCAAGACCGGCCCTGAATTTGGCATATTTAGAATTAAATTCTTTTGTATTATTCGAATTTGATAAAAACATGTCATACACTAGTCCATGTATGAATTATAAACTCTTTTGCTAAATTTGAGCCTAAATTTCCGAAGTAATATTTGTTTAAAGCATAGTTTGTAAGGCGGTAAGGCGAGGCAAGGCGCCAATATACCTTCATACTGCCTAGGCGACTAGGCGGACGCCTAGGCGAGTTACACACACACACATACATATATATATATACACACACACACACACACACACATATATGTATATATATATATAGGGCACAACATACCACAATGTTATAAATAATAAGGCACAACATATGAAATAAAAGTCCACACATAATCTGAAAAAGAAAGAAGGGTTCAATTCAAAACAAAAACACAATTCAAAACAAGTTCATCTCCATCCTCTGGTTTAATGAACCAAACATGCATGTCTAAATATTATCATTGAATAGTTCATTCAAATGGATATCATTATCTGTGTCAGTGTATCCATAGATTCATCCTGGACAGTAGATAAATCAACACCATAGTCATCCTCAATTTGCTCATCATCATTTGGAAATGGTTCAACTTCAGTCTCTGGGCTGCACTAAAAGGTTGGGCTGAACTAAAAAAAATAGGCTGCACTAAAAAAAATTGGGCTTTTCATAATTTTGAAGTGACCCAAAGCGTCTAGGCGAGAAAGGCGACATAAGGCGACGCCTAGGCGAGCGCCTGACCGCCTGAGGGTTTTCTGGGCGAGGCGAGCAACCAAGGCGAGCAAAACATAACGCCTTAGCGCCTAGGCGACGCCTTAACAACTATTGTTTAAAGAAGAGTTTATAAAATGTGTTAGTTTCATGAAATCAGATTTATTAAATTCTCAAATGATATTTTTCAATTTAAGAATTTCAAAAAGCAAACAAATAATCTAAAAGGAAATGGTGTTTCTCAGATAATATTAAAACTTAATGTTTGTTTATTATCATACACTTTAAAATTTTATACATGAACTCCCCAATGCATCTTTGAGATATTCTATTAAAGTTTGTTTTCAAAACTTTTTATTGCATAAATACAACTCCAAAATGAAAAAATTGAACCAATTTTATTTGGGATCTAATATGGTGAACAAGAGGAAAAATCCAACCTGGAATAGTTAACTCTGTGCTAGAGATGATGCGGAATGGGGGAGATCCACGCTGTTTATATAGGCAGGGAGCTAGGGCGTCCAAGTTGGGCATCCCACTATGGACGCCATTACTTCGGGTCCAACAAAAAATCGCCACGTGTCAAAGTTACGTAGGCTCCAAGGTTCTTAAGGCATTGTTAGAACCCAAAAAGTTGTATTTTATTATCTCGAAGTGCGGATTTTGAATACTTTTCTGCACATTTAATACATGCTTATAAAAGAATTTGGCAAAACAAAGTTTTTAGACCTTAATTATTTTTCTACATTAAAAATCAGTATTTTTAGTCTTTAAAAAGATTAATTAGATGGACAATGGATCAAATTGGATACAAATCGGGTTGGGCCCAAAAAGCCCAACCCAATAATCTGGCTTGTTCGCATCCTAAATAAACCAGTGACAGAGAGGGGCCCTGTTATAGAACTCTTTTCCGCATCCACAACCACACACACGCACGACATTTCTAGAGAAAGAGAGAAAGCCTAGGTGTTCACCGGTGGGAAAGGTGACCATCACCGGCAACTTTGGCGAGTAAGGGAGTGATTTAGAGAGAGCTCAACGAGTGCTACACTCCGATCCACAGCTCACCATCATTGAAGGTCAGCTCCACGCCTTAGTGGAGAGGATCTACTAGGTGTGTCCCTTTTAAGTTTTGAAATCTGATAATTGTTTTTCTAAGTCTTCTTAGTTCTCGCTATATGTTTGTTGTTGTTATGTTATTAAACTAGGGATTATCTGTAGTAGATCTAAGATTCACGCATTTTCCTTAGGGTTTTAACTTCAGTCTTTTGTAATCCCCAATAAAATGTATCCCAAGTGGGACTTGTGCAGAAAATTATGCTCAAAACATTGCAAAAGTGATGGCTATTATGAGTTTATGCATCAAAAAACATGGTCTCTGCAATGAAATGTGATGTGTGCAAAGAATTATGCATTCCAAAACTCAACATATTGCAATAGTGATGCTTAATTCCTGCTCAAAACTCAAAGTCAAAATTAAACTATTTGAAATATATCCCACCCAAAAAGATTGTCGACTGCTCTCACCAAATAAATTGAATTAATTATATTCACTTTTTCCACACGAAGAATCTATTCCTGAAATTTTTTTTCCCTCGATTATAATAGAAAGACCTGACACAAAACAGCACATTTCACAATGTAATACTCGTAAAGAACAACAACAACAACAACCCAGTTGAATCCCACTACAGTAGGGTCTGGGGAGGGTGTGTGTATGCAGACCTTGCCCCTACTCGGAAGTAGGGAGGTTGTTTCCAAGAGACCCCCGGCTCCAACTGCACAAAAAGTATGATATGAATCACCTCGTAGAGAACATTAAAGATTAAAATGCTGTAAACAACAACAACAACAACCCAGTTGAATCCCACTCCAGTAGGGTCTTGGGAGGGTGTGTGTACGCAGACCTTGCCCCTACTCGGAAGTAGGGAGGCTGTTTCCAAGAGACCCCCAGCTCAACCTGCACAAAAATATGAAAGGGAACACAGTATAACACTGATAAAACAACAAGTACAATGAAATTAAAGTCCTGCAAGCAATAACAAAAGATTCTAATCAAATACAACACACTACAAAACAACCTCTACAGCACCGAGCTCCTATCCAGCTACTCTAATCCTAGTTCTCCAAAGGTTCCTATCTAAGGTCATATCCTCAGGGTGAGAAGTCCTAAATCCTGCCTAATCACTTCCTTCCAATTCTTCCTAGGTCTAGAAAAAAAACAAGAAAAGAAAACAACAAAACATATAAAGCCTAATCAGTCAGGTATAAACCAAATTATATTAATAGAAAAAATTGAAAACATATTTATATACTTAGTTATATACTTAAGTAAAATGTGAACATAAACTCTAAAGGGTGGTGATTTTAAAAACATAACAAACAAAAAAAAATCTTCGAACACCAACAAGAGTGATGAAAGATCTGCGGAATGGAGTCTTAGATTTGAAATGTCAACAATATATATATATATATATATATATATATATATATATATATCAATTCAATAATGATCAAAATATATAAAAAACAATTGTGTTTCATAAATGAATTGTTGAAGGAGCAAAGACAAGAAAATGGAGCTTAGAAAATCGAAATACCTGAGGAGGCATCTGTGGGGAAGAATGGAGAATTGGAGTCCAGAACCAAAGGGGGAAATGTGGCGGAAAGTGATGATTGTAGTGGATTTGGGGTCGCGTCTGAATCTAGATTATGAAGTTGGGCTCTAAATGTTAACCGACGCATACAAATTGTAGTCTTTTGGGTCCTTTTTTTTGTAATTTTAATTTAGGTGGTTCGTATTCCCACTGTCACGAAAAAATGCACGTTTTGATTTTCAAGATCTTTAAAAAGTGTATAAAATGTATAATTAGAATTTGTTTAAATCAAATTGAAAAATCAAGTTGAATCACATGTTTTTAATTTAGAACGAAATAATGTACGGAAATGAGAAATGTTTTTGAAATGAATAAAAAGAGAAAGTGAGAAACAACTTTTTAGTAGGTTAAAAGTAATGCTTTGTGCACTCTTTTTTTTTAACTATCCGTTTTAATTGTCCGTTTTGATTTTTCATTTTACCTGTCAATTTTAATTTTTGAGTTAATAATTTCTACTTATACACTTAACAGATATTGTTCCCCAAAATCATTTCTACTTACACTCCCCGGGTACCCCAAATGTGACCCTAATTCTCACCTCACCTAATTGAATATTATTAATTCAATTTATATGGTGAGAGCAGGGATAAATTTCAAATAGTTTAATTTTGACTTTGAGCAGGAATTAAGCATCACTATTGCAATATGTTGAGTTTTGGAATGGATAATTCTCTGCACACGTCACATTTCATTGCAGGGAGTTTGTTTTTGATGCGTAAACTCCAAATAGTCATCACTATTGCAATGTTTTGAGTTTTGCGGTGCATAATTTTCTGCACAAGTCCCACTTCTTAGGATACATTTTATTGCGGATTACAAAAGACTGAAGTTAAAATAAAAAGAAAATGGAACGTATGTGACGATATTTTTGTAATTTTGCTACCGTTTTTCTAGTCATATTGTGTGCAAAAACTTACATATCAGACCGCATTAATGTATATACTCTGTATATTCATAGATTTAAGCCGCGCCAAGGCTTCACACGTGTAAGTTGTAAACAAATCGATTCTAGTGTTGTTTTGCAGTTTTTATTGCATCAGGCTTTCATATCCATTGTTTTGGCATCTCATAGGTTGCCAAAATGCAGAGGTATTTTGGTCTATCTTTGCTGGCCAAACGAGCATTCAGCACATCTTCAAGCGGTGATAAAGTTGTAGCGTCTGTCCTTTTTGAGAGGCTTCCAGTTGTGGTTCCAAAGATCGATCCCGTTGTTTATGCCTTTCAAGAATTTTCGTGAGATTTCTAAATCTTCATTTCCATTCTTATTTCAGTTTGTGAGGATGATTGGTTTCAATATTTGACAACTTGAATTTTCTATTTATAATATTTTAGTGGAAAATGACCTCTTAATCTATATAAAATTTGAATGCTCGGCATGTTATGTTACTTATGTATTTTGATCTTTCAGTCATCCTTTGAAATTGAGATCAAGGAAGATTGCTTTATTGGTGTTGCTTGGTGGATAAGTGGTGTTGCAATATTTTTATTAGACGATTCTTGTCTAAAATGAGTTTCTAGGTTCAGATGGAAGCAACAATATAGACGGGAATATCCAGAGAAATTATTGAAAAAGGCTGATTCCAGGTATATACAAACTCACATCGATGATGCTTTGCCCTCATCACCTTTATGGTGTATATGTATTATACATTTTTGAGTTAATGTGCATAGTTTCTTAGGATACATTTTGTTAAAGGTAATACATGATAGGGAGGAGCTTTTTTTCTTTTTGTAACCTTGTTCGGTTTTGTTGGACAAGAGTGTATGGATTAGGGGAGGAGTAGTTACTGTTAAGAATAAAAGCACACACACACACGAATAGAAAGCAAGAAAGCAATAGAGAACACGAGATTTAACGTGGTTTGGTCTAATCTGACCTACATCCACAGGGGCAACTAGGGTTTGTATTATTGAGTGATGATGATTACAAGTACAGGAGATCATATATATAGACAACTAATTAGGGTTTAACCCATGCTGAACAAGTTATAGCAAATTGGGCTTAAAACCATTTGGGCCGGCCGAAACCCTAATCTGGTCTCCTAATTCTCAGTTGTCTACAAGTAGGCCACTTTGGGCCGATGACTACACATCACCAACAATCTCCCACTTGGAGTCTTTGGACCAAACTGCGGCTTCTCTCTGTACTTCTGTAAATGAAAGATCCTCCTTGATCTTCACATCTCCCTAGTTGCCCCTCTCCTCAAAACTATTCCAGGAGACCAGCTGAAGCTATGCAAAGCTTCAGCTTATCCAGCACCACTGTCTTGGTGAACATATCTGCTGGATTCTTAGCACCTGAGATGTTCTTCAACTTGATTGTTCCATTACTGATCAATCCCCTCACAAAGTGATACCTCATCCCGATGTGCTTTGTCTTGCCATGATAAACTGGATTTTTAGCAAGTTTCACCGCACTCTTATTGTCACAGTACAATAAGTAATCAGACTGCTATTTGCCCAACTCTTTAAGAAAAGTCTTCAACCAAACTAGTTCTTTACTGGCCTGCAACAGCCTCTGTCGTAGATAACGCCACACTTTTCTGAAGTCTAGACATCCAGCTCACTGCTGTTCCTCCCACTGTAAATACATACCCTGTAGTGCTCTTAAATGTGTCTCTACAACCACACAAATCAGCATCTGTAAAACCTTTGAGAATAGCATCCTTCCCTCTGAAACATAAACCCATTTTCTGGGTTCCCTTCAAATATCTAAGTATCCATTTGACAGCTTCCCAATGTTCTCTACCCGAATCTGACATAAATCGACTAACAACGCCAACGGCATGAGCAATATCTGGTAGAGTGCAAACCATGGCATACATGAGGCTCCCAACCGCTGATGCATAAGGAACTTTAGCCATTTCTGATCTTTCTTCTTTAGATTTAGGTGATTGTTCTTTGGTCAGCTTCAAATGACTTCCCAGTGGGGTACTTCTAGGCTTGGTCTTCCCGTCATTCATCTTGAATCTCTCTAACACCTTCCCAATGTATTTCTCCTGGGACAGTGTTAAAGAACCATCCTTGTCTCTGATGATGCTCATCCCCAGTATCTGTTTGGTTGGACCCAAGTCTTTCATTTCAAATTCTTGAGACATTTCTATTTTCAATTTGCTTATTTCTTTCATATCAGATCCTGCAATCAACATATCATCAACATATAGCAATAAGATGATATAGGAGTTGCTGAATTTCTTCAAATAGCAACAATGATCCATCTCGCATCTTTTAAACCCAGATCTCTCCATGAAGTTATCAAACTTCAGGTACCATTGTCTAGGTGCCTGTTTAACACCATATAAGCTCCTTTTCAATTTGCAGACCCAATTTTCTTTGCCGGCAACCTGAAACCCTTCAAGTTGTGCCATGTAAATGTCTTCATCTAGGTCTCCATGTAGAAAAGCAGTTTTCACATCTAGTTGCTCTAGATGTAAATTCTCTGCTGCTACAATACTCAAAACTAACCTGATGGTCGTCATTTTAACCACTGGAGAGAAAATCTCATCATAATCAACCCCCTTTCCTGCTGAAATCCTTTGACCACTAAACGGGCTTTATACCGTTTAGACCCATCATGCTCTTCTTTGATCCTGAACACCCATTTATTCTGTAATGCTCTCTTACGTCGCGGAAGCTTAACCAAAACCCACGTTTTGTTCTTTTTTAGAGAGCTCATCTCGTCCTTCATTGCATGCTCCCACTGGAGAGAATCTTTCATCTTGGCTGCCTCGGAGTAACTTTCTGGCTCATCATTTTCTGTCAAGAGAATATAATTAACTGAAGGAGTATACCTATCTGGCTTCTTTGTAACTCTGGTGGACCTCCTGACCCACTGATCAGTGTGGTCAGATGGGGATTGTTCATCTTCAGACTCCGAACTCCCACTGTCAGAAGCTACCTCTGACTCATCATTTCCACCGACTTCAAACTCTGGAACTGTGTCGACAATTGTTTCAGTTTCTTGTTCGGAAACCGGTTCAGGAACCAGTTTAGCTCCCGCTTTTCTGCTCCTGTGTCAAACTCAACCTGCTGTTTTTGAACCTTAGAGTTTGATTCCTTTCTGTCTTTGTACAATTCAGCCTCATTGAACGTCGCATGTTTGCTCCTGACTACCTTTTTTCTTTCAAAGTCCCAAAGCCGGTAGCCCATCTTGTCTGATCCATAGCCAATAAAGGTGTACTTCTTGGCCTTTGCATCTAGCTTATCACCATCTTGATTCAAATCATAAGCACTGCACCCGAAAACCTTTAGGTGCTTATAATCAACAGCTTTACCCTTCCATTCTTCTTGAGGTACTTTGAAACCCAACGGAACTGAAAGCGATCGGTTGATTAGGTAAGTAGCAGAGTTAATTGCGTCTGCCCAAAACGTCTTCGGGAGCCCTGCATTTATTCTCATACTTCTGGCTCTCTCGTTTAGAGTTCTATTCATCCTTTCTGCGACTCCATTTTGTTGAGGAGTGCGTGGAACAGTCTTTATCATTCGAATGCCTCGTTCAGCACAATAGTCCATGAACTCTGTGCTAATGTACTCCCCTCCGTTGTCCGATTTCAAACATTTCACCTTCAAACCAGTTTCAAGTTCAACGGCAGTTTTCCATTTCTTAAAAACATCAAATACTTCGTATACTTTTAAGAAAATAAACCCATACCTTGCGTGTGGCATCATCTATGAAGGTCACATAGAATCTCGAGCCTCCCAGGGATTCAACTCGCGTTGGACCAAAAACATCTGAATGAATAAGCTCTAACTTCTGAGCTTTAGGTACTCTCCCTGTCTTCGCAAAAGATACCCTCTTTTTCTTTCGATAAACACAAGGTTCACAGAATTCAGATTCAACTTTCTTTAGGTCTGGAAGCTTTCCTTTGGCGACAAGCATTTTCATCCCCTTTTCACTCATATGGCCGAGTCGTTGATGCCACAACTTGGAGAGACTCAGCCCACTAGTTACTGCGTTTGCATCTCTTGCAGTTGTCTCAGCCATGTACAAAGTAACCTGTTTCTTTCCCTTAGCAATTACCATACTTCCCTTGACAACCTTCCACTGTCCAGCCCCGAAGTGAACATTATACCCTTGGTCGTCCAATTGCCCAATGGAAATCAACATCTTTCTCAATTTGGGAATTACCCTGACATCTTTCAATGTCCAAAATGTTCCCAAGTTGGTTTTTAAGTCAATATCTCCCACCCCAGTAATATCCAGCGTTTGATTATTAGCAAGACTTACAGTACCAAAGTTGCCTTGTCTGAGATTCTTCATCTTTCTCGAACTAGAGATAGCATGAAACGACGCACCTGAGTCCATAATCTAGGACTCGACCGTGTCCTCTACACAGCAGATTAATACATCGTCGGAATCTGAGGTTGTGGCAGCATTCACCTCCTTCTTGTCGCTAGGTGGTTTGGTGCACTGATTTTTGAAGTGTCCGTACTCATCACAGTTCCAACACTTGATGTCGCTTCTTGTCTTTGAACTCCCTCTCCTGCCTTTGGACTTAGATCTTCCCCTGTAACTGTTTCTCCTCTCTTTCTTTCTACCTCTTCTCTCAGTGCTCAGCAAAGAACTTGGTGGTTCCCCTGTATTCTTTCTCCTGATGTCTTCTCCTAAGATAAAATCACGGATTCCCTCAAACGTGAGTGTGGTGTTTCCAGCTGAACCACTTATAGCCATGACTGATCGTGACCAACTATCCGGTAAAGAAGATAAAAGAAGCAAAGCTTGTCATCATCAAATTTGATATCAACTGATAGCAAACGGGATATAATGGTATTGAAAACATTGATATGAGTAGTAACAGAGCCACCTTCCCGCATACGAGTGCTAACTAACTGTCTAATCAAGAATACCTTATTAGACGCGGAAGGTTTCTCATACATGTTTGACAATGTTGTCATAACCCCACGAGCAGTAGTCTCTTTCACGATGTTGAAAGCCACACTCTTTGTCAAAGTGCACCTAATGACGGCTAGGGCTTTTCTATCCAAGTCAGCCCATTCTTCATCCTTCATCTTCTCGGGTTTCTGACCTGTCAAACATGGAAGAAGATCTTTCTGACATAGCAAGTCCTCGACTTGCATCTTCCACCATCCCAAATCTTGCCCATCAAATTCTCTATCCTGATCTTTCCGTCCTCAGACATCATCTCTTCTGAGTATCCAAAATCTGACCAGAGAACACGTGAGAACACATTGAAACAAACAACCAGAACTGACCTCGAAAATTGCAGCAGCAAACTGAACAGCAAGGTTGTTCGGACTGCCAACAGATGACTATCTCGGTGGTCTTCTGATGTGTCGGCAGAAACCCTAGAGTTGCTAGGATTGGCAGTGGAGGCAGATCTGTGCGTACGACCTAGGCTTTGATACCAGTTGTTAAGAACAAAAGCACACACACACGAATAGAAAGCAAGAAAGCAATAGAGAACACGAGATTTAACGTGGTTTGGTCTAATCTGACCTAGATCCACAGGGGCAACTAAGGTTTGTATTATTGAGTGATGATGATTACAAGTACAAGAGATCATATATATAGACAACTAATTAGGGTTTAACCCTTTCTGAACAAGTTATAGCAAACTGGGCTTAAAACCATTTGGGCCGGCCGAAACCCTAATCTGGTCTCCTCATTCTCAGTTGTCTACAAGTGGGCCACTTTGGGCCGATGACTACACATCACCAACAGTTACTAAATCTTTGTTGCCATTCAAAAAAAATCCTATTTGCACGGAAAGAAAAAAAAGAGCGGGAGAACTTTGCTCCATTTGCAAAATTTCTTAACCAAATTAGGTCTCCCATCTGCTCTCATTCCTCCAAAGCACTCACCCTTATGATTGCCTACATGATTTTTTTTCAATTTATAGTGCAACTAAATCCTCTTGTTCTTATTACAAAAAAACCCTCTTGTTCTGTTAATGATGTTTCTTTCTTAATGCTTAAAACTGTATTCGTATTTTTCCCCATTGTTCTTTCCTTTTTAGATATAATGTGTGCTGCACGAGCCGGGGTTCTTTCAGAAACACTTCCCCTACTTTTTATAGATAGGGGTGAGGTTTGCAAACACACCCCACTTGTGGCATTTTACTGGGTTGTTGTTGTTGTTCCTGTGTTGCCATTAAGCCTCAAGATTGTTTTTCGTATGCCTTTATCCATTAAGGGCTTGGTTGGTTGGAGGGGAGGGGAGATAAAGTTTTGGCTCTCCCAAATGTTATGAACCAAATGAAGGGAGAAATTCATTTTCCTTTCCCCCCTCCAAACAAACACCTTAAAAATATACAACATAATATTTTCTTTCAAATCATATTTACATCTTTTAACTACATGAAGAATATACTTGTAATTAATAACAGTGATCTCCTTTCGTCCCAGAGGGAAAGGCGAATACCATATTGATTATACTCCTGCTCCCCGGATCACTGAGGCCGATAAATGCAATGACACGAAGTGGGTAACTAAATGCTTTTATTACATTTCATATCGGTGTTAAATTGTAAAAAAAACGCTAGTTATTATATAGTTTCTGTAGTCACTAATGTGATTCTTTTTCATTGATATTGGAACACCACCCATATACTTAAGGTCATTAAACAGAGCACTTGACAAAAGGCTCTATCTTCTCCTGTTCGGGGCAACACTTTCTAGCAATGGGAAGCCCGTTTGGCATTTCCCGGAAAAAGCATACGAATCAGAAGAGACTCTACGCAGGGTATAAGTTATTGCTGCATCATTATTTCTCATGCTCTTTAATTTGACATGGAATTCCGTGGACTTCTATTATAATTGTTGCAATACATTACAAAAACTTGGAATGTATTTTCAGTGTGCAGAGTCTGCTTTACAATCTGTGATTGGAGACCTCTCCCACACTTATTTCGTCGGCAATGCTCCAATGGGACATATGGTCACCCACCTCGGCGAGAATGCCAATGAACCATCACCATCTCTAAAGGTCAGTAAATTTTACTGCCCCAAATGCATTGGTCATCAAATTCAATCTTTTTTCACCTTTCCTGTGGGGTTATTGCTAAATATCAAGTAGGTTTTCTTGTAGTTTCCCAATTGTATTGGCCTTAGATAGTAGCCCTATGTATTTGTAAGGACGTTTTGTTTGCCTGATCTGATTGTAGTTATATTTAAAATTGTTTTTGATTTGATGTGATTTGGTATGATCTAATTTTAATAAGAATAAGTAATAAGCTAAAAAGAATAAGTTGAACAGAATGCAACCTAAATCTCTACATTGTGCTTGAGCCGAGAGTCTCTTTGAAACCGTCTTCCTACTTCAAAATAAGAACTGCGTATGTTCACCCTCTCCATACGTACTTTTTAGTGGGATTTAACTGAGTTTGTTGTTGCATTGCCAGCGCTACTTCTTTAAATCCCAAGTGATCGCGGCGAACAAGTTTGATGTTCACAAGTGCGACGATTTTGTTTGGGTGACAAAGGACGAGTTGTTAGAGTACTTTCCAGAACAGGCCGCGGCGTTCCTGAACAAGATGATCATCAGCTGATGTTGTTGCAGAGCAGTGTTTGTCAATTCTGTGGGTTTTTTTGGACGTCGCCGGGGGTAAAAGTCTTTCTCTTCCCCCTTTGGATTTCAGTCCAATTTGAAGTGTGTTATTTATATCTTCAAAATCCAACTATGCTAACACAAAACAAAAAAAAACTAGTGGAGTACTAGAGCATTTGGAGCTTATAGATTGCTTCTGGAAACTTCTCCCATTTTAATGTTTCCTTTTTTTTGGGGGCAAAACTAGCATTTTATTTCAATTATAAGTTTGAATTTTTGAATTTCAAATGGAAATAGGTGTATTTTTGTATGAATTATAAAGATTTGTCTCAAATCTATATTCAAAAATTTTAGATTCCCAATCATAGAATTTTAGGTAAATTTGAATTAAAAATCCAAATACATATTTTCAAACATGTCAATATATAAATCTGTGATCAAAAGGAAAATACCGAGTACATAACAAGATAGTACGGAGTAATAAACGACCATCATGAAGGTCTAAAGTGGAGTGAAGCTAAGGTCTACTACTTCCTCCCATCCTAAAAATTGTTTTTGTTTACTTTTTTACTGTAATTAAACTGTGATTATTTTTATCACAAATTAAACATCATCTGAATAAATTAATATTATAAAAATTCTATATATTAAAACTATATTTTAAAATGAATCTGATTATATTAAATTTATATTTTAATGTTATATATTTTTCTTATAATTTGTAGTCAAAGAGTATATTATTTGACAAAAAATCAAAAAATAGAAAGAACTTTTAAGACAAAGAGGAAGTATAACTTTTGGCCATATTTATCTGGTGTTATAAACAGATCAAATCATTTCAAATCTCAACTACAAAAAATCAGATCAGATTAGAAAAAATAAGTTGAACGGAACGGAGCCCTATTATGTGGAAATTAAATTTCGTATTTCATACTCACAAATTTCTCAACATATTTACATTTAAAATTTTTTATATTTTAATTCATTATATATTGGAAAATATTTAAGTTAAATAATATATTTAAAAATTGAAAAAAGAACTTATATTAAAAAACAATAATCCAAATAACTAAATTTTTCTAAGAACGTATAGGTTGGTAGGACTAAAAGAAATTACATATGAATATTTGTTTTTGCTTTGAATTCATACTAATTGGAGAGATTTTCCAATTTTGAAAAAAGAGAAACAAATATATAAATGGAAAGGGAATTTTATGGGCATGTTTATTTTATAGAGCATTGATTTTATTTTGTATATATTAAAAAATTCTAAGTCAAATAACAAGTATGTTTCATTTTAAAATTATTGTTTTTCATTTTAAAACTATTATTTTCCATTACTAACTTTGTAAAAGTTTATAGATTCGTGCCACAAAAATTACTATTTTCCATAATTAAATTTATAACATGATGAAAACTTGGTACATGAGTATTTATGAGTAAGAAACAAAAAATTAATTCGTATTCCTAATAAAAATATTTATGGTATAATATTAATTGTTATAAGTGTGATTACTAATAAATAAGTTTTGAAAATATAAAATGTGCTTATTTTGACATCTATGTCAATTGACATCTATGTCAAAATAATGCAAATAAATAATATTCTTGCTTAGCTGGGTTGTGGTTGTTGTTGTAATATTCTTGCTTATTTATTCATCCGGCCATCAACAACAATGTAACAAATATTAGTGGATAATAAAAAAATTTATATTTAAATTTTTTAGATAAAAATTACAATATTTATTTTATGATGGTTATTATAGATACAGAAGGAGTGGGATAGTCATTGGCTCTAGTCTTGCATCAGCGAACACGTTTGAGAAAGAATGTACTCTGTGATGTGACAAATGATATTATTATTATTCTAAATTAAATATTTAATTTTTCCAATATATTATTTCCCAAAATATCATCTATACAGTGCTTCAATCAGGGAGCAATTATATACACACTTCATTGCGCTTTCAAGTGCATAAGAGACAGAAGAGAATAGAACTATCTTCTATAACACATGTTATTAATTTATTTGAAGGTTATAATACAACAAGTGTCTTTGTGCATTAACTAATTATATGTATAAGATATTATAAACAATGTAAGCAAATACTGCATAAATTAATATGGTGGACATACTCGATATATTTTAAATTTAGATGTCAAGGTAGAACGTTCATCTACTCAAGATACATTAGTGGAATTTTTTTAGATAATTCTAAATTTAGAGAAACAAAAATTAAAACAATGTTTAGATTATATATGTAACATGTAAGTTGTGTAGAATACTAAATATGTAAAAAAGACTGACTATATCATATTTTGGTTTTCCTTTGGAGATCACGGATTTTAGGGATTCCACATTTATATTTGATTTTTTGGAAGCTTTGTTATGGTATGAAGAAAGAACCAAAAAAGTAAAGGTTCAGAACATTTAGAGTTTTCAATTTATTGCATGAAGGAACAAGCTTAACTGTCTCTTCTAAGAAAACCATTAGATTTGGTCTATAATTTATTTTAGGAACTTTATACGAGGAATTCACATTACCATGAAAGATTTAAGAAAAATACAACAGTGTGTTTCTGTTCACGTATATGGACGAAAATATTCATGCATCTCACAAACAGTCGAGCAACAATTTATTGTTAGCGTGCACAATTATCATCACATACTAACTTTATTGTCACAAGATAGTGAAAGATCAAGATCTACTCAATTGTATATTTATGATACACAGAACGAGATATCAAACAGAATGACTCATTTTAGGTACCTCAAACATTTTATTAAGTGCATCCTTTTAATACACGTAGGTATTATTTGCATGTGTTTGATAATATACTACTCATGATACATAATTAGCATATATTAACACAAAGAAATTATTTTCTTTGTTTCACACAGTAGTGAGAATAGTTTTTGGGCTAGTGTAAGAAGTTTAGTCAAAGATTTGAAAAATATGATAGATGAGCATAATGTTTTAACACAGATTTTCAGAAGAACTAGAGACGTCATGAATAATGAATCAACTTCTAATGTATCATTGAGGCTATTGAGAAGTAAAACTAGAGAATCAAGATATTATAGTATCAAGTACACGAAGTTGACTCATCTAATGAAGTAAGGGATATCATCATCGTGAAAAGAGATAAATTTTTACGAAATGTCCAAGAGACACACACTGCTTTCATAACTCTATAATACTTACTCTTTACTGTTTCCTCTGGAAGAATGGATATCAAGAAAATATCCCCATAAGGGAATCCTTTTTTGTGTGAAAACATGTAAAGCGTCAAAGAGTATCAGTGAGAGAATTTGTTACAACAAATAGAAAATGAGGGTGGTATTGTGTTGCTTGCACAAATATTGTACTTACAATTTTTGGTTGATGCATATACGATGGTTGAAGCACAAAGGACCAGTGCGTGTGGTTAAACGAGAATCAAATTAGGGAGCAATTATGAGTGGCTTACATGAAGCTGTGATTAGAGATGATACTGAATCGGCATCCATTGGACAATAAATTATCCTATCATCTACATGAACTCGGGGAATGTGATATATGTTTAACAACTCTCAAGATATAATGGCAATTTGTAGATAATTTACTTATTTAGATTTATTCATTATTATAACATGCAATCCGTAACTGCAAGAGATTTCAAGATATATGACAATAAGGAAATGTAGAGCTAAAGAACTATCTGTCATTGAATCTAGAATTTTTAAAATGAAATTGGATCATTTGGGGAAGGACGAAAAATAGGACTTATATTTGGTGAAGTAATTAGATGTAATTTTTAAGTTGTCAATATTAGTTTCATTTAATAAAGTTTTTGTAGTTTGAACATTCAAATTTAAAATATCATCATCTAAATGCATAATTCTGTGCATGTTTGTACACTATTGACCTTCAAAAGAGAAGTTTGCGTCATGCTCATATCTTAATATGGTTACACCAGAGGGATAAACATCAATCTCCGAGTACATTGATAATGTGATATGTGCATAAATTTTTAATAAAGACAAATATTATTGATTTTATGAGTCTATAACTTAATTGATTATGCATGGTCCCTGTTGCATTGATGACCCTAGATCTCTATATGTGGATAATGGTAAATGCATGAAGTATTTTCCCAAAAAAATTGTTGACAAGACATCATTTGATGAGAATGGCTACCTGATATACATCAGAAGAAACATGAGGATGACTACAATGAGAAAGAATATCAAGTTGGATAATTGATTTGTTGTGCCATACAACCCACAACTCTTGATGAGGTATCACGATTGCCTCAACATTGAATATTGTAATAAATCTAATTCAATCAAATATCTCTTTAAATATGTAAATAAAGATCTAGATAAAGTAACCGTTGTAGTTACCCATTCTTACTTTGATGTTGTTGATAATATGGTGTATGATAAAACAGAGAAGGACTATGATTATCATTATGTATCTGCATGTGAAGCCTCTTGGAGAGTCCTCTCTTTTGATTTACACCACAGGTGGCCATCAGTAATGAGGTTGAATTTCTATCTTCTAGGGCTAAAAATTGTAAACTTTAGAGACCAACAAAAGCTAAAAAGATGTCGTCAAAGAAGAAATGTTGATAAAGCTTCAATGTTTGAACCTTGGATGATTGCCAATACATAGTACAATGCGGGAAAAAAATTGACGTATGCAGAGACTTTCTAGAATATTTTGTGTACAATCACAAAGAGCGGAAGTGATTCTGAGGCAACAAAGAGAGTATTGTGAATCAAGGTATTTCAATATAAAGTTTTTAATGTATTAATCCATATGAAATGAATTATATAGAAACAATCCACTTAATAGAATCAAAATAATTTATTGGTAGAGGAATTGAACTATGACAAAGAAAAGTTATCATTTGATCTTGGGGGATATTTATCTACGAAGAATGAAGATAAGAGGAATATATATAATGAAATAATAGAAGTCTTGAGAGCTGAATGAAGAAGTTTTTTTGAATGGTTACAGTGGAACTGGAAAAATATTTCTCTAGAAATCATTGTCTGCCTCTCTAACGTCAAATAGTAAGGTAGTCTTGAATGTCACATCCTTCATAATAGCATTGTTTTGCCTAGGGGAAGGACCGCACACTTTAGATTCTTAATCTCTTCAGTGCTAACTGAGTGCTCATCGGGTGCCACCAAACAAGAGAGCTGCTTGGCAATTTAGCATAAAGTTATTTTGTTCAACCTACTACCACTCTCCACTTACTCCAAAAACAAAAATGACAAACTAAGAACACATAAGAACAAAGATCAGGGCTAGCCATACTTAAAATGTAATCCCATGTACCCTAAACTTTTTTATTCATTTATATGAAACACAAATAACTACTACATTATATAGTAGAAAAAACATAGCAAGTTTAGATAAGAAAAAGCACGCAGTGCTTTTTGGGTTATAATTGACGATGATTAATGTTTATAGAGTGGATGAAGTGGGATCTAACTTCATGCTATAAAGCATACATCCTATCATGGTATAAAACTTACTTTTTTGTTTTGCAATTGGTCCTCTTTCTTGTTTCAGAATTGAAAACTTAGAAATCTAAAATGCTAATAAACACACAAAAAACCTAAGCAAATAAAATACGGAGTACTTATTAAAACACTCCTTTTCTATATATAACAGACATACCTTAGTGATGCTGTGAAATAACGTCAAAAACCTTATTCAGACATGGAACCAATGATAAGCCCTATAACAATTCAAATAGTGAGCCTTTGAGAATTCAAATAACCAAGAACATAATAAGATTTAAGAAGTGAAAATTATTATATACGGAGTACAAAATTGATGAAATTATTGCTAATTTTACCTTAAGAACAAAAAGAGGGAAAGAATCTGACCTGAGATTGAAGCTACATATGTTGGGGAAGAGAGATTCTAAAGGGGTGTCAGTCATAGTGATACGGCGGACTACCTCTCCATCAATATTTAGAGGATGCTTGAGAAAAATTCCTTTTGTTAAATAAAGGCAAATAGTGAGCCTTTGAGAACACAAACAACACAAAACATAATAAGATTTGGGAATTAGAAATCTTTAAACTTTCAGCACAGAAAAAGCAATACTCACTGAAATATAAGGCATAATTTGAAGAGTTTTAAAACTCAATCTCATTCATGTAAGAATGTCAAAAAAATAGAAATTGACGAATTGCATGCCATTTTAGGAAAGAAATTGCAATAAATTTTTTGGGAAAACAAAAATATGACAAGAAAATTTTAGATTTTGATGTTAATTTCAAGCGTATTTTGTTCGATCAAATTAATAGAAATACCAAATAAGAACTCTAAGAATTCGGGGAAAACCAGACACTTTTTATGCCTAGTAAATTAGTCATCAAAACTAAAATTGGGAAAAAAAATATGTCTAAAATATTCTTATTACTAAGGAAATTACATCTGAATTTAAGATTTAAAAATAAACGATTTCAAACACGAAATTGCATGTTAATTTAGTAAAAAAATTTGCATTCAAATTTGGGAAAAAAAGGAAATGTGAAAAGGAAAATATGGTATTGAATGCTAATTTCAAGTGAATTTTTTTAAACAAATCAATAGAAATACAAATAAAAACCCTAAAGGTCCGGGGAAATTCAGAACAATGAAAAGTTACCAATTGAAGTCGTTTAACAAATTTTAGGAAGGAAAGATTAATCGAAGAGCTTGCGGTTTCGAGGAATTGTTTTTTCATGGCGTATTGCATAAGCCTCAAGGCGTATTGAGGCGTAAGCCTCAATTTTTAAATTGAAGTATGAATATACAATTTTATCTATGTTCTTAACAAAAATGTTAACAAAGAACCATTCGTGAAAATTGATATAAGAATTTGGGACTAAATTAGTAATATTTAATATGTAGAAACTAAATATGTAAAACGACATATAACTAGGACCTTTTATGGAATTTACTTGATTTTGAATATAGTGGAATTTAAAAAACAAAAACCTCAGCACCACTAAAACTAGTCTTTGCAAACAAAAAAAAACCCACAAGTACATTAAGTAAGCACTTAAAAAAAGTAAGCACTAGTGATTTCTTTATGAGAAATAAGTACTTATGGAACCTGTCAATCAACTGGAAATTATATAGGTACAGACGTACAGTATGGCATTGCAGAACAACCCGCAAATTCATTTCTCATAAATCTAAATAAGTAGGGGAATTAAAAAAGTAGGACATCCACCAATTCATAAATAAGTAGAGTAATATATTCCAACAACATCTAACTCAAACTCCAGGTAAATAAGAGTCTGGTTGAGAATAGCGTTAGAGATTAATGTTAGCGTTTTAGATTTATAAATAAAGGGTAGAGAGTAATTAAATACTGTAAATAAATATATTACGGAGTAATAATAAGAACGGCAAAGGACGAGATTGCTTTAGGGGCCATAAACGTTTCCGCTCGACATGTCTTCCAATTTCTTCTTCCTCCGAGCTCGGCCTTGTTTGCAATCACAATCGGGAAGCCTCACATTCCCACATACCTGAACCCACATATAACAATAACAATGCATATTCGATTATTATTGCATTGCAATCTTGTTTTTCACCAAAAAAACAATTATTATATCATAAGTACACTCTTGGCTAAAATATGTAAGGAATGATGAGAGAACATAGGTGCGAGACTCTACCCCCTTTGTTAACGGGTAACAAAAGCTTGCATGATATTTTGCACGCCGTTTCTGCGCATAAACAACAAAACCAAATAGTTACACACACACACACACAGAGAGAGAGAGAGAGCTGTGGGAATTAAATTACCGCAGTCGGTGTCTCACAGAAATTCCTGTGAAATTCACGCCGGCGCTCCTGCGGAAACAAAGAAGAATAATAATCAGTTCACCACCAAGTTCTCCCACACACAAACATCTGTAAGTTAGAATAGATTCACCATTGTCATTTGACACATATGAGACCCAAATGCATCAAATTACCTTGGCCATCTCATCCAACTCTTGGGTTACCTTCCTCTTAGCTCGCACGCATTTGCAATGACAGTAACCCTCCGCAATGCACCTACGCTCCACCTACCACATATAATAATGCACAATACTATAATCATAATAATAATAATAATAATAATAATAATAAAAGTAACAACAAGAACAACAACAACAACAACAACAACAACAACAATAATAATAATAATAATAATAAGGGAAAACAGAACATGGGAACTGAATAACCTCTTTAATAAGTAAAGATTCCATCCTGCTTGTTTCATCCTCAAATCTTTCTCTGAGAAACTAACAGAAAAAACCACAATAAAATGATAAATGAATAAGAGACAAAACATAACCATACATACTTGTATGTACAACACCTTAAGAAGTGACATGAGTTAAACTACTGATGCAACATTAATAACAAAGATCAGATTACCTCAATTGCTTCAAACTCTTCCTCATCTCCCGAAAGGTCTGAATCATATAGAAATTCAGTTCCACAAGATGGAGCACAGTAGTAAACAGGCAAGCCCGAGTATGCTTTCCATGGGGATTGACCTATTAGAAAAATCAAATCAAATTTAACCCAAAACTGAATTGACCCAAACCAAACCGACCCAAACCGAGCATGCACATTTGAATATTTTTTACAATAAAGAAAATGCTTCAAGAATATTTGGAGGTGGAAAAAAGCCTCAAGGAAAATGAAAAAAGGCTGTCCACTACAGACATCCCATAAATACCTGTTATGTGTGATGGGAAATATTGAGTGTCCTGGACTTTCCAATCCAAATTGTCAAGTCAAGCCAAATCGGAAAGTCCAGGACACTCAATATTGGAACTTTGAACATCGAGCAAAACAATGGAACTCGAACTCACCATAGTTCTATAGCATGCATATTTTCTTCATTATATTCTACTCCCTCCGTCCCATATCTTTCTTCTCACTTTTTTTTTATGACCGTCCTATTTGATTCTTCTCGTTCCCTAAAATGGAATTGATATACATCTAAACTTCCCCTTTTACCCTTTATTTGTTCTCTCTCCCAACCCCCCATTCTCTCCTAGCTCTTTCTTCTTTTACTCTTCATCCTTCGAGACTTTTCTTCTTCTTCATTCTCCGTCAGATCCCCCCCCTCCTCCTCTTTTCTTTGTCTTCTTTCTGCGTCAGGCCCCTCCCCCTCCTTCTTCATCTTCTTCTTTTGTGTCACATCTTCCCCACCCTCTGTCGTTCTCTTTCTTCTTCTTCTGGCTGTCAAATCTCCCGTTTCTTCTTTCTAAGTATAGATGGCGATTTTAATTTTTTCAATCTCCTAGATTTGAAAGCTAGATTTCTTTTTTTAATTTCATCAAATTTTAGATTTGTAAAATAAATTTGTTTTTAATTTCTTCAAGTTTTTAGATCTAAAATTTAGGTTTTGATTTCTTAATGGATTAACCTAATATTAGATTTTAAATTTTTTAATGAGGATGAAGATGAAGAAGAAGAAGTGAAGAAGGAAAGGGGGGTACGGTCTGTGATAAAAGAAAAAGTATAAGAAAGGGAAGAGTGAAGTGAAGAAGAAGGGGGAAGGTCGGAACGAGGCTCAGATGGACGAAGAAGAAAAGCAAAAGGTAGGGTGGTGAGAAGGAAAAAAAGGTGAAGGTTAAAACTAGAAAATCAAACATTTTTTCATTCCACATTAAAAACCGTGTCAAGTCAAAATGAGAAATTTCAAGTTGGACGGAGGGAGTATCTAGAATATGAGGATTCATCTTCTTCTTCTCACAGCTCTGAGTTCCAGCATTATATGGCTCCCGGACTCATATCATGTACACGCACTCCATATATCAATATCAATAAAACTTTCTTGTTGGGATATCACTCCCAAAAAAAGCGCAAGTTGCAAAACAGCTCCTGGTAAATTATTATTTTTTTAATTGTGACAAGAATGCCACATGGTCATCTTCTTGAATAAAGGACTTGAACCTCAGAATTAGAAAAAAACATAGAAATGGGTGATATGTTTACTTTATTCTATGATGAAGCACGCAGTAAGCAATTGCATGGGGTAAGCTTTACATACATACAAAATTAACTAAGGCCAAAGATTGGATAGCAATACCTCTCCAATCATCACGCTTAGGCCTCTTCGTGCAAGTTCCCTCTTTTTCATTTAAGTTGCCGCTGCTATGATTCTTTAAGGAATTCTGGCATGCCTTCAAAACAAAAGAATCTTTCTTCCCTGCATCTGATGTTAAAGCACGCAACTTTGGTTATTTTTACAAGGAAAAAAAAAAGTTCCAAGTTTAACGGGAGGTAGAAAAAAACCTCCACGCATATGAAAATGGCGGTCAACTACTAACTAGTTACAAGTACAAACACAAACAAGCAGGGATGTGGGAAAAAACTCAAGACATTCCTCAAATTAGATAGCCACACCTGTAAAAGAAGTATGCTTAGGCCTCTTCGTGCAGGTTGCCTCTTTTTTGTTTGGGTCAGAGCTCAAAACTGTGCTCCTCTTGTTCTCTGATTTTCTCTCTTCATGACTAGAAGAGCTTTGAACCCTGGACTTTCGCTTCATGCCTTGCACTCTTGTGTAGCTGAAATTTATAGAATTTAGTGTGGTAATAGGTCCTTCTGTATTTAACTGAATGGAATTCACACACAAAAATATGCAAAGAGTGACACATTGATGCTGCATCATGAAAACAGATCACACTCAAATATTATCACAGACCATATGAGTAGCATAATGTTAAGTCTCACCACCGGCCCTAAATACGGGCATGGAGTATGAAATTATGGAACAATAGTTCATCAATTATGTATACTTGTAACAACCTTCGGTTTAGCTCAAACATACAGAATCAAACTGAAACATCAGCGGCATCAAAGTGAAACAACAACTTGAAAAACAAAATACGGCAAACAGAGCGAAAACAAAAATCTGAAATAAGAACGGAAACGCGAACAGAGCCGATGCAACTCGTACAGTACCTCCTCACGGGCACGGAAAGGCGCACAAAGTGGATCTGCGGTGGTGTATTTCCCTCTTACTGGGGGTTTGTTCCCGGTCTGGTTTAACCCGTCCAAGCTAATCCCCACCAAACATTTCCGGTTTAAACAAGGTTGGTTTTCAAAATTTGGAAATAGTAATTCTATAATTAATTTTTTACATTCTCATTTAGACCTATCAAAAAATGACTCGATCTGCTTTTGATCTGAGACCCGACTTAAAAATATTAGGTTTTGAACAAAGGTTTTGCTGATCGAATCTGAAGGTGACCAAACCCGAAAATACCCGAAAATTTGGAAAGAGTAATTCTATAATTAATTTTTTACGTTCTCATTTAGACCTGTCAAAAAATGATCCGATCTGTTTTTGATCTGAGACCTGACTCAAAAATATTAGGTTTTGAACAAAGGTTTTGCTGATCGAATCTGAAGGTGACCGAACCCAAAAATATCTGTCAAAAATTGGTCAAACCTGACCAAACTCAACCTCGACTTGACCGACCCGTTAATGTAAAAAATTTTCAAAATCATATGCTTTAATATGCAATATAATATTATAAAAGAATACTCCGTATTTTAATTATATTTCTTTTGCTTACTACTCGTTCTTAATGTATAACTTTATATTTCCATACAAAATTTTTATGATATTGCATAATTATCGTACTTATTTTCAAATTGTTTTACATATTTAGTTTTTTAATTAATGATAGTGTAAATTATCTAACCGAGTAAATAGTACTAAGCTAGACCGGGTCTAGGATTGTTTACTGAATTCGAGATAGTAAAAAGGTAAAAACACACAAAGTAACCGGAGGGACTATAGGTGAAAATACTTGTAGCCCAACTGTTATTCGAATATAGTAGAAATCACGAGAGCTTTTACACAAGGGCTTTAGTGAGAAGAAATCGGATCCCCTCCTTTGAGGGTTACACAAGTACTTATAGTAATCAATGAGGGACAAGACGCCGCACATCCACGTCAGGGCATGTTCCTGGGTGGTGCGAGGTGATTGCCTTTGTCTTTTAGTGGCCTTGTCATTTACTCCCTCACTTAATTTTATGAAATGACTAGTAAAATTGAGCAAACAAAGAGAGTAAAGTTTGACTCTATGAATAGTGCTTGGGAAGATCTATGGTGGACAGAGAGAGTAGTTAGGAAGAGGTGAATTGGACTGACTGACTTCCTTGTCACGTAGTGTTTTGGATGGATTGTCTGAGTATCTCCAATGATCCTCCGTTGAATTAGGTCGCTACAGTCCAATTTCTTTTGGATTATTCATAGCCAACATTTTCCAATCCTAGAAATCACACCGAGTGATTTCTAAAGGATGAGTTTATTGAAATTAGGGACGAATGAGGGAGTGGGAGGAGAGGATGAAGGTTGTCGGTTACTCTCCCCTCCCCACCTTTTATGATCTTGATATCCCTCCCATGTATCCAAAAATTGCCTTGAATAAAGTCCGTTGGAATCTCCCGTGGGGCTATATCCTTGAATACGATGAACATTGACCTAACATTGTTGAGCCCCATCGAGAGGATAGGATAGGTTTCCACTTAGTTTTTCTGGAGGGTGACATTGTTTTTCCTCTCCGCACTCTTTTCTCTTTTAACTATCCATTTGCCTAGAAACAAATTATTTTTAAAAGGGAGAAGGACCAAAATAGTAGTAAAACATACTCCCTCCGTCCCCAATTTGATTACAAATTGCGGGTTACGGAGTAAAATTTCCTACTTTTTGAAATCATTTTATTTACAAATTGGTATATCAATAAGATATAAAAATTACATATTAAAAAACTACGTCAAAAGTTCTACAAAACAAGAGGTGACAAGAATATTTTATTTTATCAAATACTTGATTAAATCGCGTAAACAAACAAAAGTTATCGAGAGGAGAGAGAAAAAAAGATTGTAATCTATTTAGGGACGGAGGGAGTATGACATATCCTCAAAATAAGAGTTGAAACATAAATTCCCTAAATAAGAGTAATTAACTTAATTAATATAATGGCTTAAAACAGTGACCGCGTAACAAATTAGAAGTTATATTCATAATACAAATATGAAATTGAATACATTACATAAATTAAAAAAAACTTAAATAATTAGCTACAACCCCTACCCCACAAGTCACTGTCGTACCCCTGCCGCCATCGCTGCTACTGTCATCATCGTCACTCCACCGCCACAATCTCCTACTACCATCGCTATTAAATGTGGCCACAATCTACATTGTTGCTGCTAGTCCTGCCACTAACACTGTCACGGTCGTCACTATCACCGTCATCGTCACCACAATCTGCTGCTCTCATCCCCATTTGTTGCGGATGCCGCCTCCATCGTCTCTATTTGTTGTTGTCAATGACGCATTTTACTACCAACATTGTGATCGAGATTGCCATTGTCGACACCATAGTACCATGGTGTCACTGCCAAGGGTAAAGGCTTTCAATACAATGCCAACCAAAGACACAATGTCAAAGACGATAATGCATATTGACAAATATGTCATTGCATAATGACAAACATGTTATTGCATAATGTCAAACATGTCAACATAAGATATCAAAAAGAAAGTGAAATGTCAATATTGCCAACATACAATATCAAGTTTTTGTGTCTATCCCCAAATTTTGCTGAAATTGGGAGCAAAATCTAAACACAACTAATACAAAAGCAATCAAACAAAAAAATTAAAAGAAAAACAATCAAATACAAAAATGAAAAAAAAGCTAAACCAAAATCAATGCCTAATGAAGATGCAATTATTATTATTATTATTATTATTATTATTATTATTATTATTATTATTATTATTATTATTACTATTATTATCCTTTAATATAATATTTGAGAGTTGATAGCCTAGAATGATGACACGTGGCAAGTGAAAGGCTCCTAATTTGTTTACACCTCGGATGACACGCGTCCAATTATTAGCAGAAGCTCCTTCTTTCTTCCCTTCGACCTTCTTCTTCGCGTTTTTCTCGGAAAGGAAAGTAAAAAAATTGGATCTTCACGCCAGGAAACTAATTTGATTCAGCCCCAATTCCTCACTGCCTTGGATTTACACGGAAGGAAAGAAATCGAGCAACTGCTATTCGACTTTCCATTCTTCCTCTTCGGTTACCCCAATTTTACCCTAATTTATTCCGGAAAATTCTTTTTTTCATGAATTAGTGGGTTGATTGATACCAATCTGCTTCCTTCAATTAATTGAAATAATAAAAATCGTGATTCATACCTAATTTATATTAGATTAATACCAATATTCTTTCTTCCTATAATTATATTTATATATATATATATATATATATATATACACACACACACACACATAATACCAATCTGCTTCTTTCATACTGTCAAAATCCATTTTTTCCAAAGGAAAGGGCAATGCACATTCACGGATCAAAGTATTCTGTTTGTTTTTTCCTGCATCTGTCATAGTCTGCCAATACATTTTTATGCATATGTTGTCCTTATTTTTATGCATCATTTTTCTGCATACTTTGTCTTTATTTTTATGCATCATTTTCTGCATCTGCCATGGTGTGCCAATACATTTTTGATCCATCATTTTTCAGTACTACTAGCAGTTACATTTTGATGCATCATTCTGCTGCAATTGTCATGCTCTTGCAATTATAGGGCATAGACATCATTTTTATGTACTTTATATCAGATGGGTTATGATGGGAATTTAATGAGCATTGCTTTTGCTTTGATGTACCTATAGGATGTTTGTGAGAATAATAAACTAACTGTAAGTTTAAGTACTAACAGTAAGTTTAATAACTAAGTCTAAGTTTAAGTACTAACTGTAAGTTTAAGAACTAACTCTAAGATTAAGTACTAACTGTCAAAAAAATGTATGCATTTGGGGTTTAAGTACTATGTGTAAGTTTAACTACTAACTGTGAATATGAAACTAATCAAGAGCCCATACACCAAAAGGACTCTTGGACTGATACAGAAATATATACTACTAGTCTACATCAGAGTACTCTGTTGCTAATGAAGATGACTAATGATGAACTAATAAAGAAATAAGGCAATATAGGTCTGTTAGTAACTATTAACTAATAAGTCAGTATAGGTCTGTTAGTAACTAATAAGGCAATATAGGTCTGTTAGTAACTTAGTGTAGTATTATAAAGACAACTTTGCTGCCTGTTTGCATACTTACAGACTCCCGGATTGTTATATCATACGGCTTGCTGCATAAGATGTTTTATTGTTACTTTTTTGTTATTATATTCAGATTTATTGGTGTTTCCTAAGAGGATATGTTGTTGATGATTTTTGATGATGAGACGAGTGGTGAATCTGATCCCAAGGTTTAGATTTTAATAATCTCCAATGGTTATTACTTTATGTAAACAATTTTTTTATTGATTAAATTAAATCATGAAAAACAATTATGATTCAGGTATCGAATAAAGACGAGTTGTTGACACAATGGACAGTGCTACTTTCGTACTACTTGAAAACGTTGGATGCTTGTTGCTCCATAAATCATGTTCAGAGATGTTGAAATATTCTGAGGTATGGATAAATATGTGATAATAACAAATTATCTTATACCCGTTTTAAATCTATAATTAAATTCTTTGACCCAAAGTGAGCCATTCATTTTCATCAAGTATAGAACTATTTCATGTGTTGTAGTTTTTAAAAGGGAACGCTGGGCACAATCATCACCTTCACTGTATCATTAGTGGTCTCAAATAGTATACTCTATCTGACTATATGTATCTTGATTTGTAATACGCTGAATTTTTTTGAGGAAATACTATAAATTGAATAAGTTTTAACCTCTCTGATTTTATGTATAGACAGCATTAGGATGACTCATATATGTTATCAAAAGATGATTTTTTTTTATCAAAGAATACTCAAATAACTTGGTTTATTTTGCACTGCCTGAACTCTTCTGCTCTCGGTAAAGCAAAAACATCTATGGTCATTGTGTTAGTGTGGCATGTGAAATCAGTGTTAAGAAACTGTATGCCTGAGGTGGGTTTAGTGAGGTGTATGGACAACCTTTGTCTTGGAGTGGGTTTAGTGAGGTGTATGGACACCCTTTGTATGGACAAACTGATTTCATACACCTC